CTCAGCATAATAAAAATGTCAATTATATCCAAACTGATATATAGGTTTAACACAATTTCTATCAGATTTCTAGACATATTTTTGTAAATATACATAAGACTTTTTAAATTTATATGAACAAAGGGTAAAAAAGAGAACTAAAAAAGTCAAAACAGAATAAAATGGAAGGAATCAATGTACCTGATTTTAAGACATGACAAAGATGTAGTAATCAAAACTTTGTGATATTGGTGGAGGAACAGACACATAGATCAATAGTACAGAATAGAAAACCTAGAAACAGCCCCATACAAGTACAGACAGTTGATTTTTCAAAGTGGCAAAAACAGTTCAATGGAGGAAAGATTGATTCCGCAAGTGAAAAAGTCTTTTCAACAAAAGGTCCTAGATATCCATAAACAAAAAATGAACCTCAACCTAAACCTCATACCATACCTTACACAAAAATCATCTCAAAATAGATCATAGGTTCAAAGATAAAACATAAAACTACAAAACATTTAGGAGAAAATCTTCAGGATCCAGGGCTTGATGACAGATTCTTTTTTTTTTGGATGGAGTCTCGCTCTTTTGCCCAGGCTGGAGTACAGTGGCACGATCTCGGCTCACTGCAACCTCTGCCTCCCAGGTTCAAGCAATTCTCCTGCCTCAGTCTCCTGAGTAGCTGGGATTACAGGCGCCCACCGCCACGCCAAGCTAATTTTTGTATTTTTAGTAGAGATGGGGTTTCACCATGTTGGTCAAGCTGGTCTCGAACCCCTGACCCCGTGATCCACCCACCTCGGCCTCCCAAAGTGCTGGGATTACAGGCGTGAGCCACCGTGCCCGGCCCGATGACAGATTCTTAGACCTTACATCAAAAGCATGATCAGTTTTAAAAATTGGTAAATTGGATTTCATCAAAATTTAAAACTTTCACTCTCCAAAATACCATGTTAAGGATGAAAACAAAGCTACTGACCAGGCGAAAATATTGCAAACCACACATCTGACAAAGGGTTCAAATCTAGGATATCGCTCTCAAAACTCAACAGTTAAAAACAACAAAACAAGACAAAAACTTCCATTACAAGTGGCTAAAGGTGGGAAAACTCAAACTGTTTTTCCTCTGCACTCATACAGCAACAATCAACGCAGAAGACTTCTGTGACCAAATGTGGGAGATTTCTTCCCCCCACCGAACCAGCAAGCAATCAATTCTGCAGCAGACACCAGCTGGGTGTCCTCAATCCAATTCTAATCTGATGCTATCTATCTGGAGGTAACATCAGATACCACGGGGATGAGCACTCAGTCCCATGGAACTTCTCCCCACTTTCAATGCCGATTGCAAGGAATGTGCTTCTGACTCATTGGCTATAAATCAGAGATCTCATGACCTCTTCCTTGGGTTTAATTAATTTGCTAGAGTGGCCCACAGAACTCAAGGAAACACTGAGTGTACCGGTTTATTATAAAGGATATAGATGAAGAGATGCATAGGGACAGGAACGGGGAAGGGACACGGAGCTTCCATGACCTCCGCAGGTGCAGCACTTTTCAGGAACTTGCATGTGTTCAGCTGTCCAGAAGCTCTCTGAATCCAGTCCTTTTGGGTTTTTACAGAAGCTTCATTATGTAGGCAAGATTGATTAAGTCATTTGATCAGCTTACTCTTCAGGTCCCCTGTCTGTCTGTAAAAATTGGTCTTTCGGGTGACCAGTCCCCATCCTGAAGCTACGTAGGTGCTCCCAGCCATCAGTCAATTCATTAGGACACAAAAAGACATCTCTTTGGAGAGTCTAAGGATTTTAGGAGTTGTTTGGCAGGAAACAGGGTTGGAGACCAAATATATATTTCACAATATCACAATGGGTGAAAAACATAAAGAGATATTTTACCAAAAAGGATATACAGATAGAAAATAAATACATGAAAAGATGCTTACATCACTAACCATCAGGAAAATGCAAATTAAGATCATAGTGAGATATTATTACTATGTACCTAATAGAACAGTTATAGTAAAACATAGTGACAATACCAAATGCTGGCTAGGATGCGGAGAAACTGAATATCTAATGCATTGCAAGTGGGAATGTAAAACAATACACCCACTCTATAAAACTGGTTGTCAACTTCTTAAAAAGAACTAAGCATACACTCGCTATACAAATGAACCAGCAATTGCACTCCCTTGCATTTGTCCCAGAAAAAATGAAAACTTATGTACACACAAAAAACTGTGCACAAATGTTTGTAGCAGATTTATTTGTAACAGCAAAACCCTAGAAACAACCAGTGTAAGACAAATTTGTCTTACAAGTGAATGGCTAACAAACAGTATGCATTCATACATAAAATACCACTCAGCAATAAAAAAATAAATTATTTATATATGCAACAACTTGTAAGGATCGCAAAGGCATTATGTTGAGTGAAAAACTCAAACTCAAAATGTTGCATACTGTATGATCCCATTTACATAACATTGTCAAAATATGGAGATATAGAAGAGATTAGCATTTGCCAGACTTAGTATGGTGAGGGTGGGTATCACTATAATGAGGTAGCACCAGGGAGACCTTTATGGTTATGGAATTGTCTGTATTTTGACTATAGTGTTGATTACACAAACATACACAGGAGAGACTGCACATAAGCAAAAGCTGGGAATATTACCAGACTCAGCTGGAAATAATGTTCAGCTGGGCAGGGAGGTTCACGTCTGTAATCCCAGCACTTTGGGAGGCCAAGGTGGGTGGATCATTTGAGGTCAGGAGTTTGAGACCAGCCTGGCCAACATGGTGAAACTCCATCTCTACTAAAAATACAAAAATTAGCCGGCCATGGTGGTGCATGCCTATAATTCCAGCTACTAGGGAGGCTGAGGCAGGAGAATTGCTTAAACCCAGGGGTCAGATGTTGCAGTGAGCCAAGATCATGCCATTGCACTGTAGCCTGGGCGACAGAGTGAGACTCCATCTCAGAAAGAAAGAAAGAAAAAAGAAAGGAAGGAAGGAAGGAAGGAAGGAAGGAAGGAAGGAAGGAAGGAAGGAATATCCAAACACTTATTACAATATAGACATTGACTCTTAAAGTATCCCAAATTACTATATAATCATATTCAGTTGATGGGGAATAGAAAGTGTTCATGTGTGCATTAAATCAGCAATGATGGAGCATTATATTACCATCTTCAATCATGGGAGGTCAAAAATAATGCCTATTACTGAAAAATGAAGAAGTGGTGATATAAACATGTTATATGAGATATGGCAGTAACAATCTAAGATAATCCATTAAAAGTTGAGAATACTTGCTTCTGGGAGATAGAACATGGTTGGATGTTAGGGAGACTCCAATTTTTGTATGTAAAACTTATATAACTATTTATTTGACTCTTTAATAGTGTGTACATGTAACTTTGACAAAGATAAACACTAATTTAGATCATTCGATGAATGTCATAGGAGTTACACATAAAGGCCAGGTACGGTGGCTCACACCTGTAATCCCAGCACTTTGGGAGGTGAGAATGGTAGATCACTAGAGGTCAGGAGTTCACTACCAGCCTGGCCAACACAGTGGAACCCTGTCTCCTGGTGTGGTGGCATGCGCTTGTAATCCCGACTACTTGGGAGGCTGAGACAGGAGAATCGCTTGAACCTGGGAGGCGGAGGTTTCAGTGAGCCAGATCACACCACTGCACTCCAGCCTTGGCAACAAAGCAAGACTCCATCTAAAAAAAAAGGGGGGGAGTTATATATAGAAAGAATATCCATACTATTAGCACTAGTAAGAGAATTTCATAAGCTTTCCAGCTATAAAATTGATGTTCAAAACTCAATTGCGATCCTATTCAGTAGTCAACAACCACTGAAAAAAGTAATAATAAATTTTAAGGATTCCATAAACTAGAAAATATTAAAGCCGTCTCTAACTAACGATGCATAAGACCATTATAGAGAAAAAATCTGTAAAATTGTAAACTGAACTTCATAAAAGAAAACCTAAATAAATAGAGGTATACTACGCCCATAAATGGGAAGGCTCAATACTGGAAATATGTAAATGTCTCCAAAATAATATATGAATTCCGTGGAATCAAATAATAAATCTAAAAGGATTTTTCATGAAACTTGATAAAGTGAGTCTAAAATGCATTTGGGCCAAGAATAGTCACAACAGTTTTGGATAAGAAAGGGTGAAATGACTCAGGAAGGGGAACATCACACATCAGGGCCTATCATGGGGAGGGGGGAGGGGGGAGGGATTGCATTGGGAGTTATACCTGATGTAAATGATGAGTTGATGGGTGCAGCACACCAACATGGCACAAGTATACATATGTAACAAACCTGCACGTTATGCACATGTACCCTACAACTTAAAGTATATAATAATAATAAATTAATTTAAAAAAAAAAAGGTGAAATGATTTTCCCAAAAGATATCAAAACTTACTGTAGAGCTATGCTAAGTCAAATACAAGCATACCTTGGAGATATTGCAGGAGAATGTTGTGGCTAGTTCCATCATCTATCAAGACCACTGAAATTTTCTCCACATCACCAATAAGTTTGTGTTGCCTTCTTATCATTCATGTGCTCACTGGAGTAGTATTTTTAATTTCCTTCAAAAACTTTTCCTTTGCATTCACAGCTGGCTGCGTGTTTGGTGCAAGAAGCCTAGCTTTCAGCCTGTCTCAGCTTTGGACAAGCCTTTTTTTACTAAGCTTCATCATTTCTAGATTTGATTTAAAGTGAGAGATTTGTAACTCTCGCTTTCACTTGAGCACTTAGAGGCGGTTGCAGGGTTATTAATTGGCCTAATTTCGGGTTACTGTGTCTTCCTGTGCCTCAGGGTAAGTGGGGAGGCCTGAGGAGAGGGAGCAAGATGGGGGAACGACCAGTAGGTGGAGCCTTCAGAACATACAAGACATTTTTCCATCAAGTGTGCTGTTTCATAAGGATGTGGTTCGTGGAGCTACAAAACTGTTACAATAATAACATCAAATATCATTAATCACAGATATCAGATATAATTATTATAATTTGAAATATTGCAAGAATTACTAAAATGTGACAGAGACACGGATTGGGCACATGCTGTTGGAAACATGGCACCAATAGACTTGCTCGATGCAGGGTTGCTACAAACCGTCAATTTGCGAAAAACGCAGCATCTGTGAAGTGCAGTAAAGTGAAGCACAATTTAATTTGCCTGTATTGACAGAGAGCTAGACCAGTAGATCAGCGGAACAAAGAGCTCATCAAAGGAACCACAGATTTATAGACACTCGCTATACAGCAAAGGTGGCAGTGAACATCAGGGAGTGCTGGATAATTAATCCTTCTAGAAAAAAGATAAGATTCCTACCACCTGTAAAACACGTAAGATTCCTACCATCTGTAATGCATACACACACGTGTGCACACACACCACCAGAAAAATATAGCGAGATGTGGTGCGTGCCTGTAATCCCAGCTCCTTGGGAGACTGAGGCAGGAGAATTGCTAGAACCTGGGAGGTGGAGGTTGCAGTGAGCTGAGATCACACCACTGCACCCCAGCCTGGGCGATGGAGTGAGACTCCGTCTTTGCCTCAGCCAGTGTCCAGAAGAGCTTTTCCCAAGTTTTCTTCTTTTTGTAATTCCAGATCTTACATTTAAGTCTTAAAAAGATAAATTTAATAAAAACGCACAAGGTTTATATTAAAAAAACAAAGCTGTTTGTAAATGGCATAAAAGACAACATGAAAAATATAAAATTATACAGTGATCCTGAAAAAGAAGTCCCAATATTTATACCACTGTATGTATAGTATAGGAATACTCTGGCTGTGTACATCCAATTCCCGCTCCCAGCCTTTGTGCCATTGTTTCAGGTATTATATGATATTGATGCGTTATTATCATAACATCCACATTGCATTATTATTATTTTTAGTTTTAAACATTCACTTATCATCTATAGAGTTTTGTTTAAATGTCTTAAGATTATGCATCTATTTACTTTTTCTGTTCTTCATTCTTTTGTGTGGATCCAGATTTATACCTGGTGTCATTTTCTTTGTGCCTGTAGGGTGTCCACTAGTATTTCTTATAATTCGAGTCTGCTGGTGATTTCTTTGCTTTTGTTTGATTTTAAAATATGTTAATATCAGCATAGAAGAAAGGAAAACTCCTTAACTCTTTAACTTCCTAAAAGGTATCTATTTTAAAAATGCAATAAACATTCAAAAATATTTTATATATATATATATGTATACACACACACAGAGAGAGAGAGAGAGAGAGAGAGACAGACATAGCGAGATGAAAGGGATAAATGGAAAGAGTAAAACTTAAGCAACAATTGGAAATTTTTTTACATAACAAAAGCTCCCAAATCATACGAATACTGCAGCTTTGTGCACCAAGCTAGAGGAACAAGGCGGACTCTCCCACACATGCCCAGGGAAACAAATATAAGAATGTTTGCTGCAAAGTTGTACTAGCAAAACACTGAATGAAGCTTCAAAATCTGTCTTGAGAAGAATTGATAAATTGTGGCATATTCTTACAAGAGAAGACCACAGAACCGTGCAAAATTAATAAAATGTAGCTCCACATATCAACAGGAATAAACCTCACAAATTGTGTTAAGCATAAAAAATAAAGTTCCAGAGTGCTGTGTACAGTATCATAGCATTTATATAATGTTAAAAACGTAAAAATACTATACATTGCTTAAGGATTTATACATATGTTATAAAGTTATAAAATCATGCTTAAGAATGATAAATTCAGAACAGTGTTTTTTTTTTTTTTTTTTTTTTTTTGTTTTTTTTTTAAAGAACTGAAGATCATAATGGCAAATGTTACTATTTTTAAAAGATAGGATGGTAGGTCCTTGGGTATTGCTTGTATTTTTTCTTTACATTTCAGAAGAGAAAAATGCTTATGCAACTTACCAGTGATTTCAAAATATATGTGTGTTCAAATGAAATCATATCTTCAAAAACCCTGCACAAAAGTAAAAACTGCTCTGAAAATTAAGGATTGTTCATGACCAGGGTAGAATGATCAGCTTAATTCTCTTGGGTGGAAGCAGGGCCAATTCGAAGCTCAGTACATGAGGGTCAAGACATCCCTGGAATCCTTATGAAGAAAATCCGTCCCTGACTCAGCTCCAAAGCTCTGAGGGAAGGAACATCAGGAGGGTGTGCGGAAGGGAGCGTGTCCGCGATGGGGGTGGCAGGGACGGAATAAAGGGGTCTTTAGTGACCTATAAGTCCTTGCAGCTTCTCCCCGCTTGAACCCCTTCGAGAAGGCTGGAAGTAATGTATCACAGGGCATGCAGGGGCTGTAGAGAAAAAAAATCATTCATTCATGTGTTTGTTTATTCATGTATTAATTTCACAAATATTTATTGAGCACCTACTATATGGCAGGTATTCTGCTTGGTCTGGATTCGTGGCACAGATCAGAAGTAAGGCCCCTACTCATTACACCCCAATGCCACTTTCTGGATTCTAAACTCTCTCCCATATCCACATTCATCTTTGCCACTAGTCAGAACCTCCAAGTCCCTTGAATAGGTTCTATTCATTGATTTTAGCAATACTTTCCTTATGCATCCCCAAAATATATCATATGAAAATCGAAACATGTAACGGTGTATTGGGGGACTCTGGAGTTTGGGTCTCAACATTCATACCACTACTACACCTTGGATCCCCCCTCCCCCCATCTCCAGGGTCCCAAAGAATGGAATTTGAAACCTTTCCACCTCCAAGGCACTACACAATGCATGGAGTTGAAAGACTCTGGGAATCCCAAAAAACACCTGGAGAAAATAAAGAGTGTTCACAACCTTCCCTTGAGGCTGGATCACTCTTGAGGGCCCCAGTGACTTTGTGGGCTTGCCCTGTAAGCCTCTTGCCAGCCTGTCACCCACTCCTGAAGACTAAGGCCCATCCTATGCTCACCTGTCACAGGTTCCACCTCCTGCAGATGTAGGTCGCTGTGAAACTCATCACCAGCAGCACCTTGAGGCCCAGGAGGAAAACCACAAAGATAAGGGCAGGCATCTCTGGACCTAAATGCCAAAGGATAGAAGGAGCCATCACATGGGGGCTCTGTGAGTTTAAATGCCTTCTCTGAGGTCATGTAGTCAAGAAGTTCCAGAGCTTGCAGGTGGCACCTGATTCTGTAGTTCTCTCTTGGAAATAAGAGTTGACCTTGACCTATAAGCCTTACCTTGAATTTGGCTCAACAAATGCTGATTTGAATATCTGACACATATCAGCCACTGTGCAAGGCTTTAGAGGCACAAACCTAAGTATAATAGAATCAGCTCCATGTCCCAAAGGCCTGTGGTCATTTAATATAACTTTGCTACAATCTTAAGAGTTTGGTATCATTAGCACCATTTTCTAGATGAGTAAACTGAGGTTATGGGAAGGTAATTGACTCAACTGCCTAAGTTTACAAAGCTGCAACTACTGGAAACTAAATTTTAAAATAATCTTACCTGAATTCAAATAATAGGTATCAGTAGCTGACATTTATTGTAGACCGTATGTAAAGTTTACATGTATTAATTCATTTAATCTTCATAAAGACGATGAATTAGGAACCTTTTTTAGACACTATCTACAGGTAAGCAGACTGAAGCACACAGGGGTGAAGTGCCTGTGCAAGAATCAAGTCGAAAAGCCTATTCTACCATTGAAGCAGACATCATGCAAGCAGGTTTTATGTGCTGGCAAGCTCGCCTCCATATAACTGAAACAAATATTTTAAACAAGACAGCCTTGCTGACAACCACCTCAGAAGCACCAGTAGTGAGTGCACTAAGCTGAACTCTCTCTTGGGAATTTTGAAGGAGATTGAGCCAGGAGATCACTCTTTCCACAGAAATTAAAGAACCTTTCAGGATGGCCAGATTTAAAGGAATCCACCGGCCAGAAACCATTCCGGTTATTTAAGGAATTGCAGACTCTCAAGTGGGATAAGATCTCACTGATTATCAAGCTCTCCCTCCTCCCAGTACCTTCTGAAATCCACTCAGGATACAGAAGTGACCCCAGGTGCTCATAGAAGAAGACATGAACTTACCTGTGCTCCCAATGGGCTTATAAGCAGTGTGGGCTCTTGTGGACAGTATGAGGTTGGCCCGTTTGGGAGGCTGTCCCTCATGTTCCACCATGCAGGTAAGCACCCGCTCAGGCCCCCGCACTGATGCATTCACCAGCAGCAGGTTTTCCAGGGTGTAGGACCCATCATCATTCTTCTTGAATGTGGGTTGCTCAGCACCTTTGAGTGTATGGCAATCCTCTAGCCAGGTGAGGTGCACGTTTTGTGGATAGAATCTTTGCACAAGGCAAGTAACGGCCACCAAGCTGGAGGAGGTGGAAGACTGGAACACTGTCACTGTAGGGGGAACTGACAAAGCCCAGAGAAAACAAATAATTATTGTGGGAAGCCATCTGTAGGTGCCTGAAAGCTCCTTGAGGATGAAGTCATCTGCCTAGGCCTAACCAGAGCCTGCCACAGAGGAATATTTTAGGTATTGGTTAACAAATGCACACATAAGGAAATGCATGATTGAATGACAGTGCAAATTCATGAGTGAATGCATGCTTGGATAGATGGATGGATGGATGGATGGATGGATGGATGGATGGATGGATGAGTGGATGGATGGATGGATGAGTGGATGGATGGATAGATGGATGGATGGGTGGGTGGATGGATGAGTGAATGGATGGATGGATGGATGGATGGATGGATGGATGGATGAGTGGATGGTTGGATGGGATTGATGAAAGCCATTTAATCTTTCTTTTTCACTTTGGCCATTAAAGATGAAAAGATGAGGTATGAATTCCACTGAAGAAGCTACAAATCATTTAACTTGCTCTATGACTAGATACATTTAAGATTTGAAGATTCACAGACTCTAAGTCTTAGAAGCCAACATATTAAGATTGCACATAGGAAGGAGCTTCAGATTAGAGAGGTTAAATAACTTGCCCGAGGGCACAAATAGCAAAGGTGGGTTTACACCAGAGACAGCAGGTTTTACCTTTATGCTATTCTAACACCCAAACTACAAGGCTATAAGCATTTATGATTCTAGGCTTCCAAAATTATGATCTCATGACTTCTAGAATTTTTTCAACCAGATTTTCAGCTATGCAATAGAATGTATTCACAATAAGGAAAACTGGACAAATGTGAAATCTTATAAAACACTAAATATTTCAGTAGACTTCTTATGAACACACAACACCATGCAGCTCTAACACTAAACTAAGGGTTGGTTGATCCGGATTCTGGTCCTTGCACTGATACCATAGCCAACTGCGAGACCTATGCCAGTCACTTTCCCTCTGTTTCTAAGACTCTAAAATTAATGAAATTCTCTGAGGTCAGATCAGCTCTCATGGGCCTAGTTAAGAGAGATTTCAGCTCTTGGTCTCGGGTAGAGGAAGCAACTTTTGGTACTGAAATTTGAAGGAGTTACAGAAATCCAACTCCCAAATATTATTTTCTCATCCTCAACCTACCCAGACTTGTAAAATTTTATCAGTGATGTTGCTAATGGCAGCTGAGGCAGACACCCTCCCTGAGCTTGTTACCTGAACTTAGTCTTTCCCTTTCAGCACACCAGGAGAGCACAGGGATCTCACGAAGAAAAGAGCAAGGCCTGAGAATGGAGGACTCCGGGTGTTGAAATCTTGGTAACTGGGGTGGTGCCCGTGGAGAAGAGGGCAGGGTAAGGTGCCTCCACACAACTGCCATGGGTTCTAGAAGGTGGCAAGGACCAAAAAGTATAAAAACAGATAAGAGGCTGAGATGGCCCGTTTCAACCGCCAGTGAGATTTCCTGGCTGTCTGGTGTCCGGGCCAGTGTTGGGAGGACAAAGGCCTGAGCACAGCTGATGACAACTGCTCCCATCCCCTGAATGTCAATGTTTGAGGCAGTGTGCATGCATTTTCTTATTTAATTCTCACAAAACCAAATAATGTAAACACTGAAGCTACTTGGTATCAGGGAAAAAAAAAAAAAAAAGGTGCCACTTAGAAGAAGCCTATACAAAATCAGGCCTCAATTTCATAGAAATTGTAAAAAAGGAATTGGTTGGAACGTCATCTACTTAATGTATATTTGCAGACAAATATAGAATATAATTGCGAAGAGGCACCAACTCTTAGAATAATAAGTGTTAGGAGTGGACGGGAGCTGCCATGGTTTTTTCTCAGGATTTATACTATAGGACCAACAAATCCTTCATTTCAAATCTCACACAATCATTAAAGACCAATTTTGAAAAATCATTTGAAATTATTTGAGTGTTCTATCGATTTTCATAGGGGTCTCTTTTAATCGAAGTGCTCTCTTTTGAAGTGCCCACAGTATCATTAGCATCATGAATTTTTTCTTATTATTATGATTCCATTTTTAACAGTCAAAGGCTTTGCCTGTGATCCCTGCAGCTCCTCAATATCACCTGCCTCAACTTCTTGAAATACAACTTTTGCAAGATCTCAGATTGCACTTTGCAATGAATATGGATTCAATTTGCACAAGATAGTGTGAGGTTTGCCACACTTCAATCAAGGCAAGACCAACCCTATAGCAGAGGGTTTCTGGGCTCCACGCCTCCTCTCCCAGCTGTCTGACCTCACTGCAGTGGTGCCAAGCAGTACCACTCACACTGAGTCCCACCTTGGGCTTCCAAAACCCTTTCCTCTTCTCTGCCTCGGATTTCTCTCTGTAAACATGAAATGCCACCTCCCCACTGCAGGCACATCCCCACCTCTCCTTCATGAGACAATTCTCAGGCATATTCTACCCAGTTCTTCAGAGGGTATCCAGCGTCATTGGGCCCCAGTGGTCCACAGGGGCACCCAGCTCAATAACTCACTCTTTCTTGGCTGACTCCCTGCAAAGCTAGTATCTCTCTCCCTGCCCGTGCCCCCATCCCAACCTCTCAGCATCACCCTCCAACCACCTGCCCCCAAGTCCTGGGTTCAGGCTTTGCTTTCAGGAGAACTCAAATAAAGACAGCCACAAAGATATTTCCATGAGAGGAAGCACAGCCCTGAGATGCATACAGTGTTGAATAGGGAAGGGCTTGGAGTGGGAGCTAATTTTATATGTAATCAATTATTTTTGAAAATCTGTATTTTCTATAGCTTTTGCTTCTCAACACAATTGTCCTAGCTCCAGAGAATTACATAATAAATACTCAGATAAGGAAGATTCCCTGAACTATCCTTTCTCTATTTTACAGACAAAGATACTGAGGATGGGAGAACATAAGCAACTTGCAGGAGATCCCATAACTGGTAAATAGAGCAGAGTTGGAAGCTGGAATTCACGCCAAGGTTTCTCACTCACCAGCTTTATAACCTTAAGCAGCCTTCACTTCTTTGAGCCTCGGTTTCCTTCTGTAACTCACAAATGGCACAAACAGTATAGGGCAGTTCTACACATTAAAGTCCATTCACACGAGTGTGCCTTACTGTCTGTGAGCTGTAAATGTTTGAGACATTACTACCAATATCTTCCTCCATGTAATAAGATGTGTGTACTTCCTAATAGCACACTTCTCCCCCTATTTGGTGAATGAGAAAAAGAAGAGAGACATATTTTGTAGATTTTAAAGTCCAGTATACCTTCAAGGAATTAATTTTACTGCTATGCAAGCTTGGACCACTCACTTGCCTTCTCTGACTTTTACAGTTGTCAGAACAATTCAATGAGCATTAAGATTTCTTCTAGGCATGATACTTTATGACCTCATGGAATTCGTGTCAGCCAAGCATTGGTTCAACCCATCTAAAGACATCATAGGCCCTAGAATTTAGTTTCCCAAGCCCTTCAAATCTTCTTCATATAAAATAATGATAATAATAAAATTGAATTCCCAGAAGATATCCTGTCTCCATTTTACAGATGAAAGAAATGAGTTTTGAGAAGTGCTGTAAATAATAATACCAATTAACAACAACAATTGCCACTTCTGAGTAGTTAGTATGAGCAAGGCACTGTCTTAAGCACTTTACAGGTATTATTTCACTAAATTCTTGCCTCAATCAAACGAGGGATGTGCTTGCTTATCTTTAAGGGTTCTTCCTCATTTTTCATCGAGGAAACTGAGGCTCAGAGAAGTCCCCACCCCATCTCTGCACTGCCTCAGCTGAGCAGAGAGAGAGATCTTACCCCGGAGGTACTGGTCCAGGCCAATGGTTTTCTGGAAAAACAGCGTCAACTTGTGCTCAACGTGGCAAATGACGTGGGAGAATACATCATCATCCGTCAGCAGGACAAGCACACTGCTGGTCACATTGTAGGTGTGTCCACTGTACTGGATGCTGGTCTGAGGGTTTGGGAGCTCGTGTTTGTTTTTAAGCCAGGTCACAGTAACCTGGTGTGTTGCGAACCCTGAGGATGTGTAGGTCAATCGGATCCTTGTGCCGGGCTCAGATCGCTGAAGGGGGCCTTGCAACTTGTAAGGCTGCACACTCCGGCCTGCAAGGATAGACCCCTCCCATGAGAGGGCACAGAAGTGCCTGAACCCCAGTGTGAACAAATACACAGCATCTGCCAAGAAGCCCATTGCTTCCTCTTTCATAAGATGTAAAGGTTATGTTCTGATAGGAACCAGTTTCCGAATCTGGTATCAGAGGCCAATGAAACTGTAGAATGGGAAACAGCAGTTTGTAAGGAGGTAAACTTCTACAGATACTGCATAGTGGACACTCACTTGGCACTCACCCTGCCTACAGGCTCTTCCCTAAGTCACTGAGTTCTCATGGCAGCCCTCAGAAGTGGGAGCTGTTACTATTCCCATTTCACAGATGAGGAAACTGAGGCCAGACAGGCTAAATAACTTGTTAAGGTCCACTAGACAGTGGCTGAGCTGGGATCTTAGCCAGGTAGTCAGGCTCCATGGTCAGCACCCCTTACTGTCACTCAGCCCTACCCTCAGTCTTTGAAAATGGAAGAGAACCTCACTTCTCAGAGGCCAGGTCATGGAGAAGACGTTAGAACCATAGAGAAAAGGTTAGGAGCACAGGCTTTAGGATCTCACTCCACCCAAGTTCACGTTTCCAGCTTTCCACTGGAGCCCAAGCAACTTAACCCTCAGAGTCTCAGTTTTCTCATCTGTAAAATGGGGATGATTTGTTTTTTATAGAAGAAGAATGGCTTAAATTTTATAACAATTATTCATCTCATTTTGATATCTGGAGTATAATTAAAGTCAGACTTCCTTTGTTTAGCCATTAGGTTTGATGAAGTACATTTTTCTCTTCTTTCTTTTTTTAAATTTTATTTTACTTTAAGTTTTGGGATACATGTGCAGAATGTGCAGGTTTGTTACATAGGTAAACCTGTGCCATGGTGGTTTGCTGCACCTATCAACCCATCACCTAGGTATTAAGCCCCGCATACATTAGCTTTTGGTCCTGAGGCTCTCCTTCCCCTCACCCACTGCAAAAGGCCTTGGTGTCTGTTGTTTTCCTCCCTGAGTCCATGTGTTCTCATTATTCGGCTCCTACTTATGAGTGAGAACATGCTGTGTTTGATTTTCTCTTCCTGCATTAGTTTGCTGAGGATAATGGCTTCCAGCTTTATCCACGTCCCTGCAAAGGACACAATCTCATTCCTTTTTATGGCTGCACAGTATTCCATGGTGTATATGTACCACATTTTATTTATCCAGTCTATCACTGATGGGCATTTGGGTTGATTCCATGTCAAGGAATTAATTTTACTGCTTTGCTATTGTGAGTAGTGCTGCTATGAACATACGCATGTACATATCTTTGTAATACAATGATTTATATTCCTTTGGGTATGTACCCTGTAATGGAATTGCTGGGTTAAATGGTATTTCTGGTTCTAGATCCTTGAGGAATCGCCACACTGTCTTTCACAATGGTTGAACTAATTTACATTCCCACCAACAGTGTAAAAGCATTCCTATTTCTCCATGGCCTCGCCAACATCTGTCATTTCTTGAGTTTTTAATACTTGATATTCTGACTGGTGTGAGATGGTATCTCATTGTGGTTTTGATTTGCATTTCTCTCAGAGTTAATTAATAAATTAAGGGATGTAACTAAGTAGAATATGTGGCACACAGTAATCACTATATAAATGGTAACCATCAGCACCATATATTCACAATGACCATCCAAGGAATTATTAATCGTATTTTTAATATTAACAGATAAAGAAAAGGCTCAGGGAGGGTTAGTGACTCATCCAAGGGCCTCACAGTGAACAGAATTGACATTGTAACCCAGGAGTTCTGACTCCAAGTCAAGGCCTTTTTCTGTTACTTCATAGCTGCCTCTACTTCTGCACAGTTGGTTCTATATTAAATGACCTTTAATATTGTCCTACTTGCAGCTCAGCTCTAGGCTAGGCACTATGGAGACTGCAGTCACTGCAGATAACTTGCTATGGGTCCCATTGTCCAGATGCCAGGCAGGAGTCAAGGAAAAGAATCTTAAGCAGGGCTCTTTGAGGTGGGTGTAAGAATTGTCATTGCACTGATGGAAAACTTGACTCAGAAAGGGAGTTGCGGCCAGGTGTGGTGGCTCACGCCTGTAATCCCAGCACTTTGGGAGGCTGAGGCAGGTGGATCACCTGAGGTCAGGAATTCAGGAATTCAGGAAGAAATAAATATCAGAAATAGAGCATTTAAAATTGAGATTTGAGAAGAGACTTGAGATAACACTAAGCTTTGTATTCTCAGGCAGGATAGGAAAGAAAAATGCAGAAAAACACATTGAATTTTTGAACAGACATGCCTACATTCTAACCCCAGCTATGCTGTTTGGAACCTCTGAGACCTTGGTCCCCGTGCTAGCTCTGGGCTCTGTTGTAGGTTCAGATAACATATTTGAGGATGCCTAGTGTGCAGTAAATGCTCTACGGGTGTCAGCCAGTAGGAGCAGAGACACAGAGTGGGGAGTGCGTAAGAGGTGAGGGTGCTGATGAAGGCATTTATGAGCCAGGTTGGGGAAGGATAGCTGCAATGCTTTGTTAACACCAAAGAGAAAGGGGCCTAAATGCCAGAAAAGGAAGGGGCTGCCCTTCCCCCTGCAGAGCACGGGGCCCCACAAAGCTACATAGGGGAGCCGTATAATGAAAAGGATGCTCCCAGGGGGTTAATGTTGCAGCAGTGGGCCAGATAGACTGTATGCAGGCAAAAGAGAAAAATAAGAGAAGAAAAACCCAGCATGAGTCAATAAAGAAATATTGTAACTTGCTTCTGATCAGAAAGGACCAGTTTCCAGTTTTTCAACCAGACCTGTGTATCCTGCTGGGTGAGTGTTTTTCTTATTTCTGCTGGACAACAGACAAAAAGGCACGGAGAAATTGAAAGCTGAGTGGGATCGTTCTCCTTAAGAATCCTTACAGCAGCCAGATAGAGGCCAATTCCGTCAGGGAAAGAGAGAAGGGGAGGTAGAAGGCCCTGGTGGGAAGACGGGCTGTTGTTGCCCGTCCGGCACCGGTCCACCCTTGCTCTGGCAGTGGCCTGCACTGTAATACTCGTACACAGAGGCAAACACCCTCACCGCCCAAAAGGGACTGTCCTTTCTGGCTTCGTGTGGTTCTGCAGAGCTGTGAGTCCACATGCTGGCTTATTCCTAGTTCGCCAGGCCCGGCCAATCCTAATAACTTCCACCCACCCTCTCGGACACTGTCTGCCTCCACCACCCAACAGGCCCACTCTGGACTGGTAATTCATTCTCCCAAGCTGGTCCAAGCTGGACCAAAGGAAAGCAGCCCGCGCTCTCTGAATCTGAACTGCCAGCAGACAGCTCCCTCTTGTGGGGAAAATCATTTGAGGACAGAAAGAGTGAGAGATCGGAGGTAGAGGAGATTCCGGAAGGCAAGGCCCGCCAGAAAAACTATCAGCAGAGCCAACAGACAACCCACAAAATGGGAGAAAATATTCACAAACTATGCATCCGACAAAGGTCTAAGATCCACAGTCTATAAGGAACTTATATAAATTCACAAGTAAAAAAACAACACCATTAAAAACTGGGCAAAGGATGTGAACAGCTACTTTTCAAAAGAAGACATATCCGCGGCAAACAAGCTTGTGAAAAAATGTTCAACATCACTAATATTAAAGAAATGCAAATAAAAGCCACAATGAGATACCATCCCACACCAGCCAGAATGGCTATTATTAAAAAGTCAAAATATAACAGGCTGTACACCAAACTCCAACACACAATTTACCTATATAAAAACCTGCACATGGGCCCTGAACCTAAAATCAAAGTGTAAAAACAAAACAAAACAAAACAAAAGGTAATATAAAAAAACACTCAAAAGAGGGAGAAAGTGAAGAGGACAAGGAAAAAGAGAAGAATAGAAGGAGAAGGAAAGTGAGGGGGAAAAGGAAGGGGAGAGGAGGAGGAAGATCTGTTCTGACCCCGTGTAAGGGTCTGCCCTGACCCTAGGTAAAGGCCTGCACTGACTCAAAGGTCCTGTCCTGACACTATGTAAGTGCCTGTTCTGACTCTATGTAAGGGGCTGCACTGACTCTATGTAAGGGCCTGTCTGACCCCATGTAAGGGCTTGTCTGACCCACTGTAAGGGCCTGTCCTGACCCCATGTAAGGGCCTGTGCTGACCCTGTGTAAGGGCTTGTCCTGACCCACTGTAAGGACCTGTCTGACCCACTGTAAGGGCCTGTCCGACCGACTGTAAGGGCCTGTCCTGACCCCGTGTATGGGCCTGCACAGACCCTCTTTTCCAGCTGAATTCAGAATTCTGGCCTCTCTTTAAAGGTGCCATCCAGAAACTTTCAACTGTGCCAGTCTTGATTAATAGCCTTTCTATAAGGCACTTTGGTGCTCAGCAGTCCTTAATCTCTGCCATTTCTTGCAGTCAATTGTTAAGGTGGAGAACTTTCAACATCAAGAATGCATGGAATTAGGGAAGAGAAGTCCCACCCTTTCTTCTTGGGGAGGGTGTGGAGGAAGGCATAAGGAGTGGAGTTTGGGGGCGAATGCGTGAGAGTTTTATCACCAGCTGAGGGTATCCTTCCATCCTTCACCATCACCTGATGCCGCCCTGAGTCTCCGACCCTCCCCAGCCATGCTGCCCACAGGGGATGTCGAGAGGGGCTGGGTCAGAGGCTGCACCCACCTTTCCCCTGCCTGTGCACCTGGCCTTGCAGGGTGACATTGGCCTTGAGCGGGGGCTGCTCATCGTGGACAACCCAGCAAGCAAACTCACGCTCCTCCGGCGTGACCTCTGCCTGCCACGTGTGCTCCAGAGAGTATGTCCCATCTCGATTTCTGGTGGCCTGAGGGGACGCCAGGGTCTGGATCATGCGCCTGTTCTCCATCCAGGTGAGTCGCAGGTGGGCGGGATAGAAGTGGAGGACATGGCAGGTGAGATTCACTCTGTCTTGCACACGTACACGGGTCCCAGAGGTTTCAGTGGTGATCTTCAGGGTGGGGACAACTAGACAGAGGAATAGGAAGTAAGATCTGGTGAAATCAGCCCCTGCCTGTGGCCACCCATGCTTTCCTCTCCAGGGACCAGCCCCAAGGTCTCTCGCCTTTTTGTAAAGAAATAATTTTTTCTTGTGTGCACAATGTAAAGCAAATAGGGCTAAATGTTAATATTCATTAAATATGGGTAAGGATACAGGGGTGTCTGCTATATTCTGTGTTTTTGAAATATTTCATATCAGAAAATGTAATTTTAAGAATTAGTAAAAGGTGATGCCCATGAGGACAGGGACTTTATTTTGCTCGTTGCTGCATCCCCAGCACTGAGCACAGTGTCTGGCATACAGTGGCTATTCATTATTATTAAATTAATAATAAACATTTTAATTAAAAAACTGTAACAATGATATTAATAGAACAAAGATGTTTAGAAAGGGAGTCTGGGGCCAGATAATAACAAGATGAAACATTCATAAGTAAGTTACTGCATGCCAGGCACCGTTATGTGTGTTTTATAAGGAATAATTCATTTAATCTTCACAGGACACCTATGAAGTAGGTCCTCATCTTATTCCTATTATATAAAGAAACTGGCATTAAATAGTCACATAACTCGCAAGATCCCACAAGTTATAAAGTGGCACGGTAGGATTAAAACCCAGACAGTGAACCCCTGGAACCTGCGCTTATAACCACAATACACACGATCAGAAATCAATGAGGAATTTCATTTCCCCATTTATGAAATGAGGCTTTGGGCAAAACCCCTGAAAGCTGGATGCTTCCAGGGTTAATGTCCACCCCACCTGACTGCCCATTCACCTCGGAGCACTTGGGAGAGATTCATGGTTGTTTTCAGGGGCTCTACCAGGGCCCTATGGGTGACTTCGCAGGTGATCTCAGATGAGACATCCTGTCGGGTCAGTGTCACCCATGCCTTGCTGGTGATGAAGTCATTGCCTTCATTGTCAGGCACCAGGCGCTGAGCTGAGGCTGGATGTTCATCACTGTCCTTCAACCAGGTAACACTGAAGTCCCGGGAGAAGTCCTTGGAGTTGAAGGGGCCAGCAGTACAGTTGAAAGGCACCGAGTCTCCAGGGCTTGTCCTCTGAGATGGACCAGTCAGAGAGATGAAGGGCTGTCCAGCTAAGGAAAGAGCAACTGTGACTGCACACTGAGGATGGGACACACCCCACAGGCACCAGTGGCACCAGAGCTGTGTCAGGCCCTGGGGACCTACTATGTGCTGTATCTGGTTCCATCTTCAGGCAGCACATCAGCATTTGATCAAAAGAAAACAAGCAAATGCAAATGTGATTACGACTGAGCCCAATGCCCTCAAGGAAACCCAAAGAGTGCACAGATGGAGAATATGGGGAGGACTTATTCTAGAAGGGCAGCTGGGGAAGAATTCCTTGAGGAGGTGACATATCATTAAGCTGAAACCGAGCAATGAATAGGAGCCAGCCATGGGAAGGGACAGAGGAAGGACATTCCAGACAGCAGGGATAGCAGGAGAGAAGGACCTCGGGCAGGAATAGCTTGGTGGGCTTGAGAAACCAAGAAGTCTGTAGGACCCTAGTGTCATGGCAAAGAGGTCCAGAGTGAGAAGAGCCTGGGGACCATGGTGATAATCTTGATTCTATTCTGAGAGTGATGGGAAACCAGACGAGACTTTGATAGAGGGGCAAAGTGGTCTGATGTACATTTTTTTAGAAGATAACTGGGGTTGTGTGGAGAATGGGAAGGAGGGTGGCAGGAATGGAAGCAGGGAGACCAGTGGGGAAGCTGGTACAGGCTTCCAGGCCGAGGTGATGGTAGCCTGGACTAGGGTGGTGAGAAAAGGAGACTCAAGACACATTTGGAAGATACAGCCCACAGGACTCAGTGACGGGCAGGATAGGGGATGAGGGACAGAATGAATTATGGATCAACAATTCCCAGGTCTTCTCTAGAGCAGCTGTGTGGGTGGTAGCTCTACGCTTTGAGATGGGAAGAACTGGAGAAGGACCGAGTTGGGATAGGAAGGGAATGGTGATGAATCAGGATTTCCACTGTGAATGTAAGTTTATAAGGACTTGAATGTAAAGTCAAGAATCACCCCAACAGGGATGGTTGGCCCTCCTACTCGGGTCCCTCCCATCAACACCTCACTAGACCCCCGTCGTCTGCTTGCTTACCTCCAGTGACAGGGAGCACTCTCCATGAAAAGCAGCTCCATTTACCCTCACACACAGCTAGGACTATGACAAAATATTTCCTGCTTCTGGGATATAACCTGAGACCTGTCTCCCAGAATTTTTCCAGGAAAACTGCAGGATGAGACTCACCCCTCCTCCTAAGGACAGCCCTGCAGAGCTCTGGAGCAGGAACCTCCCCAAGTCTTCGCAGCATTCCCTGAGCCCCTGCTCTGCACCGGGTCAGAAGCTGGGTGCTGAGGCCACAGAGATGAGTCAGACAGGACCCCTACCCTTGAGAAGCATCTGGTCAGGTGCGGGGGGAAAGGCAAATAAACAACCAGTGACAAGCAGGATGACAGGCAGAGGGCAGCGCAGGAGGCCATAGGAACTCATCCTCTTAGCACACAGCTCTAGTACCTTCTGAACTGTGCTCTGCCCTTATCACCCACCCTGCACACAGCACCATGTGGTTCAGAAAACACTTTCAGCCGTGTATGCTTCTTTTCCTCCACATCCCAGCTATGGGAGGCTGGTATTATTGTCCCCACTTTCAGAAGAGGAAACAGAGACTCAGAAAGGTCTCGTGACTTGCTCAAGGTCACACAGCCTATCAGTGGCTAAGGAAGGAGGGTAAGAAGGCCGGTCTGACTTTGGGTCCAGGACTCTTCCATGCCTCCAATGCTGGAGGCTCCATCACTCTGGCGACTTCTCTCTCTCTTTCTTTCTCTCTCTCTGTCTTTTCCACCCTTACACCCTTTCTGATCCAGAACAGGTAGCCACCCAGACTAGAGCTGACATCAAGAAATCTGGGAGGTGGGCTCTTCTTTTACCTCCTGACCTCCCCTGAGCCCCTCACCATTAGGTCACTTCCTCCTCTGATCCCCCAGCTCCCACCAACTCCCTTTATCCACAAGGTCTACATTGAAGAAAGGATGAAAAATAGCACCTGACTGGCAGGAAAACAGTTCGGTCACGTCTTCTGAGCCTCAGTCTCCCTTCAGGAAGACATGGTGGCTGGATTTGGTCATTCCTGGGGGTTTCCTTGCCTTCCCTGAGGGTCTCTCTGGACAGGAATCAGGACTCACCTGTGAGTCCCAGCAGAAGGGTGGGCAGGAGGGAGCCCAGGGCCCACCCAGGTGTGGTAGCCATGGTGAGAGACTCACAGTGCTCCTGGTCTGTTCTGGTGACAACCACTGGATAAGGCCCTGAAAGAGCCCAGGAGCCACTGACCAGCCTCTGACAGCCTGGAGCAGACCTTATACTTCCCAGTTGCTCACCCCACCCCATTCCCTGCCATGCCTGGAGCACAGGCTTGAGCCACAGTGAGAGAAGTGGTCATTGTGGCCAAGGCCTCCTTCCAAGCCCCAAACCTTCAGGCCTGTGGTGTCTAGCTAGCGAGGCATCTGGAGCCTTTCACTGGGTTCCAACCTCTCTGATTCCCCATGAGCAAGACAGGGAAGTGGTTGAGCTCTGCCTCAAGCTTCAAGCCACAAAGCTGGCCTCTGATAGGCTGAGCCTTGATGTCCCTTCTCCTGGAGGCTCCTCCATGCTGAACAAGCAGCATTAAAAGCCTGCCCTGTCCCAGACCCAGACATGGCTTCTGGGAATGCAGAATGGATCAGACATGGGCCCAGAGGGTTGAGAAGTGAGCCTTGACATACACAACCACGTGCAACCAAGAAAGACCCTAGACTTTGAAACCCAACCCTTGCCTCATGGCTTCACTAGGCTTGCACAATGGCAGCACGGATTACCCGTGGCCCAAAATTGTCTACTAGGCTCCAAGTTGGGGAAACATGAATTTGAAACACAGCCACCAGTTTCCCTGACCTCCCTATGAAAACAGCCTCTCCCTTTGGTCTCTCCATTTCCTTACCCTGCATTACTTGGCTTTCCAATGGTTAGCCCTGATGTATACTTACTTGTTTTTATCCACTTCCCTCATGAAAAATAAATGATTTGCCCTGAAGACTACTGATCTTTATTCATGGCTGTAACCAGCAGCCACACAGTGCCGGGCACAGAAGAGATACTCGGTAATAACAAATGAACCTTTGGGGCCAGGTATGATTACAAAGCAGCCAAGCCTGGCCTGCTCCCCGGCCATCCCATCTCTTTGGGGTCTGTACGCTCAGCTAAAGTGGAGGGAGAGGAAAGAGAGGAGTTGTCAGCCTGGGGGAGGTTGTTACAGAAACTCCCCCCAACCTCACAACCCCCCCCCACCACCCAGCCAAGCAAGGCACCCTAAAATGACTCCTAGATATTGGGTGCCTGCAGGAGGAGGAGGCTGGCTTCTCTTTTTCCAGGTGTCTCCTGAAGCAACAGTGAATTTGTTGATCCACCTTGATGTTTCCCTGAGCAAGAGAAAAAGGAACTGAAAAGAGACGGCAGGGTAGAGGGACGGGGTGGCAGGGCAGCAGCTCAAGCTTCCTCCTTGCAGAGTAGCAAGGGGGTGAAGTCCATGGAGAGATCCCCACTGAAAGGAGGGAGCTGAGCTTAGAGCATCCCACTCAAGAGAGATGACCACTGGCAAGAGGGCCTAGCAGTAAGAGACTGCAGCATGGACTCCAGCGGGGAGCTGTGAACCTGAATCAGATCATGCATAAGAGAGACTGTGCAGCAGACTGTGTACCCCCACAGCATACACACATGGGCACACCCACACGCACATGCATGCATGCATGCACACATTCAGGATCCTCCTAGGAATCCACACCTGTGCCCTAGGAGGCAGCTGGCTTCCAGAGTCCAGCCATAGTGAACAGAGCATTGTTGAACAGAGCATAGTGAACAGAGCATTGTTGGGTAAAAGGTCCCTCTTTTTCCATCTTCCCTCCCAGGCCCTAACACACCAGATGATAGACAGGCCCAATTCAGGGAAAGGAGGAGGAACAAAAGGATGCTTTACCTCCATCCCTTCCAGATCCTTCAGCAGGGACTTGGGGGCAGCATTGGGCTGGGGTGAGGGGAAGAGGTGGATGCTGAACTAGACGTAATTGTTGGTGTTTTCAACCAGACTAGTTTGGACTGGCCTTAACAGGGCCTGACACAGAATAGTTATTTTATTTTGATAAAATTATTCATCTACCCTCAGTTCCTTGGTGACACTAGCCACATTTCAGGGGCTCAATAGTCACATGTGGCTACTGGCTACCATAGCAGACAGTGAGGTCTTGGGTGAAACATTCCTTCATCAGGGAAGTCTTTTCTACCTAATATCTCCCCGTAGGTTCAAATACGTCTCTTGCAGAGCATTTATCACAGTTATAATTAAATTGTTAACTCGAAACTAGTTGCATAATAATTCTTTCCCTTATTAGACTGTAGGCTCTGGAGCACAGGGACCGTGTTCTTGGTCACTAGTGTAAATAAGTGCTGGATGAATGTTTGTTGGATGGATGGATGGGTGGATGGATGGATGGATGGATGGATGGATGGATGGATGGACCCATGGATAAACAAACTAGGAGGAAGGTATGTGCTACAGGGCAAGGGAAAGAAGGAAGCACTCCCACTGAGAAAGCAAAGAAGGCTTCCTGGAGGAAGTGGGCTTCTTTTAGGGTTCCTTTCTCTGCCCTCCAGCTTACTCATACCATTTACACAGAAGGAGAAGACTGGCGACACCCAGGCTAAGCTGCAGTGGGTGGGCAGCCATGGGCGGCCTGTCTTGTGAGGCTGGAAGGCTAAAGGGGAAGTGGTGAAGATGGAGTTTTCCAAGGGATGGCCTGAGGAATGCCAAGTTACCCACAGGGCTCACCCAGGCTGGGCCATGCATCCACTGGGTAAGGCTCAGCTTCCTCTGAGTAGAGTCACATCAGTCTCCTTCCTTATTCTAGCACTGGCAAGAATTGGCTGTCACCTACTCTATAAGCATGACCTTTTATAGGAGCTGGGGACCTAAAAGCCCTCATCATGAATATGGGCCCCCGTGCTGGCCTAACAGGCTGAGGGACCAGAAAGGACAGA